AAGGAAAAATTATGACAGAAATGGGAGAATTTTTTTTATTTTCTCATGCAACTTTTTGCTTGCATCTATATGTAAAGTATAATTAAGATAATAATTAAATTGTAGTCCAAGAATCTGACAGCACAGATACAACAGAGGTGAATGACATTTATCATTTCGTATGGTAATCACAGTAAAGTTTTCTATTACACTTTAAGTATATTCAATAGAAGACAATTAAAATGTTCACTCACATACCACTTTAGCTGCAAGCAATACTTCAGCTGAGTAATATCAGACAGAGTGGAAAAACAGCAGAATGACTGCTCTTAAACAATGTTCCCAATCTGGGATCACAAAAATAATTCAATTTTCAGGTCCCATATACAACAGCATGTGATCAACCGGGATTTTTCAAGCAGGTCTTTATCAGCCCTTAAATCACACCCCCGGAAAAAGCACCCCAGAGGAGTATAGTGAGACCAGAAGATTCTGATACATTCAAGCATTCTGCAGGCAGGAACTAGAACCTGCTCTGCAGATCAGCTAAGAGAGAGAAAAGCTGTCTTTTCCCAGGTGAGGGCTTTCAGCTCTGCTGAAAGGTGTTAACTATACTATTAAACTCTCATGTTTCACTGTTTTTTATTGGCCTTTAGTTAGCTTCGAACAATTCAATTCTAAGTTAACAGGATGTCCCTGTTCTGAACTTTCTCTTCCTCTATTGAATGCCTGCAATAAGAGATTTTTAAGGTTACCGCATCAATTTCTGAAACCACATGTATAATTTTTTTTTTGTGTGAGAAAATCAGGTTTATAACAATCTTCTAGTGGAACACAGAAATCAAGATATGAGAAGTAAAGCTCACAGCTGAAATAGGTAAGAAATTTAGTGAGGAACTACAGAGGAACCCTTAATATGCAAAAAGCCTTTGGGAAATAAGCATGGATGCAATTGTAAAGTACAATTGGAATTATTACTTCAATTACATGGGAATGTAATTTATTCACACAATATTACATTTCTTCTTCTTTTTATTTTTTTTTTCTTTTTCCTGATCTTCACCAAGATCCCTTGAGCTTTATTTCTGCACTCTTCTCTTAGCCTCTAATGGCTTCTTTATCAAGTAAAGACTAGTTCTAAATATTGGTGCTTTATTTTTTTATCCCCAGAAAACATTTCTAAGACAGGTTCTTCCTTCTCTATCTTCATCTAAAAATCTTTTGCAGGCCCTCATCATGTTGTAGTAGCTCTGGCAGGCCCTAAAAAAATGAATTGCTGCATCATCAATATTATGCAGACCAGAGCTACAGGAATCACTTTCCATTCTTATTGCTTTGACTACATCACATACTTTTGTAAGCATTATCTTCTCCTCAGTTTGCACTGTATGTCTTGAAAGCAAAGGCAAATCTTTTTCAAAGGTGGTTCTTTACCTCCCTATATGATTAGTTATTCCTTGAGAGTACAGTGGTGTCTACACTGTTTGTAACAAAAAACTTCATGAGTCTCTATCTTTGTTGGAGACAGAATGCGAGAAAGACCCATGCTGCAACTTACAGAGGGAAGGAAGACAGCTGTCAGATATGTCTTTAAAGTATTCTTTCTGACATTAGATTATATATATATATATACACACATATATATGTATTATTTTTTAAACAACCTGGTAAGTGGTGAAGAGGACTTCCTCTAGTAATAAAGAGTACAATCCCACACTACTCTTCCTACCTGTCTTTACCCACTTATCTCCTGTAAGTTCCATGTGCTCAAATACCAGATGAAACAGAGCCAGGTGATGGAGAGACTGGTCATTTCATGCTTTGGGGCTAATTAACAAATCTGGTTGGCATACTTGGAGCTTGAATAAGCGAAAACATGTTTTGGAGGTCTGATGGTCAAATTCCATTCCAGAGAAGCTTAAGTGTGTAATTAAACAGCACATTCACTACTGAAGTTTCCATAAAATATATCATTATGCTTTTATGCTCTTCATCAAAATTATCCATGCAGTTTAGTTTTACCAAACGAGGCCCTTCACTGTAGGGAGCATTCCCCTTGCATAACAAACCCCAAAGGACTTGGTCCATCCCAGTTTTTGTGGTGCTTCCATAGTTTTTCATTTTCCATTCTTCAGAGTTTTCCTCCTCCTTTCACCTCACTGACTTCAAAAGCCTATGTGCTTGAATAGGAAGAGGCTCTTGTTCAAATTGGTATCACAAAGCACAGGTGTTAATTGGCAGCCTCCACACCATGCAGTAACCTCAGCACTATGAAGGACAGTATTTCAGCCATTTAGTCCTCTGTGAGTATGGCAACAGAGACGCTAAGGGCAGCAGGTCAACAAGGACAATACTATGAGTAGCAGTAACAATCTTTCTGTGCTGTGTTGTTTTGGTTTTTTTGTTTTCCATGCTTTAAAGAAAGTACAGAGGATGGGCATGAGGAGCTGAAGGGCCAACCCGCTTCCCAAAATGTCCTACAAATGTTTATAAAGCAAATGATTATGAAGGAGACTTCAAATCATTGACTCTTCTAGTCCATAGAACGAGGACTGGAATTTGTTCCAAGTGCTAAAAACAACCACCTTGTGAACATGAACGATGAGTTCGGATCTCCCGCATACCCAGCAAATGTTTTTATCGGTAAGTTGCTGTTTGAAAGATGATAAAAAGGAAGGATGTCATAAATGACAATCATCTTCATCAATACTTAGAAAAGAGTGACACCTGCATGCTTACAGATGCTGTTATTAAACATAACAGCACTAAATTGTAGTTTGAAGTTGTGAATCCTGATCTGCCCCATGTATCTTACTTTACAAAGAATGTGCTTTAACTCCAAAGACAGGAAAATAAAAAACCCCCCAAAATAAAGGAAGAAACTTTGAAGAAGTACATACCAACCAGCCTACATGGCTGTTTGCTAAACATGCTTGCTTTCATGAGTGCTTTCTGAGCTGCTTAGTTCCTTAGCTCGCCTAACTCAAAACTCAGATATGTTGCAATTTGTTGTGTGTAAGTGGATGATGGATCTTGGCCTCAGCTCCAGAGTGATTGTTAGGAAGCTGCTCTAATGGTTTGTGTGTTGAAGATAAATTAAGTCGGGATAAGGATCTGAACTGCCCAAGATAACTGACAAAAAGCCACTTAGTTTTCTAAAGCCACTGCATAAGTGGAGTGAAAGAGTTGGTTTGTCTCTTTTAACCCATGTGTTGCATTGAAAGGCCAAGCTCCAGCAACAAACTGGCTTCACACCAGCACTTTCTTTGCACTTGTTTTTGCAACGTCTGTGTTGGCATTTCTTCTCAGCTACTTCCCTTCTACCATTCACGTGCATCCCCTCTGCATTTACATTTTTCACGACACAGTGTCAAAACCACTGTGCAACCACCACCGCAGCACCACTGAGTCTTGAACCCACTTTGGGTGGTGGCTCCACTCCCCTCCTGTGCCCTTTTAAAGCAGATGGACAGATGGACTTCATGGACAGTATGCGTAGGAAGTGTAAGCAAATACCGGAATACTTATTTCAAGAATGAAGTTTGTGCAGTTGATAGCTGTGTCTCATTCTCAAACTAGGATGAACTTGATTTCAAAGCAACACTCTGAAAGTATTAGATATTGGGAAGAAGTTCTTCACTGCGAGGGTGGTGAGACACTGGCACAGGCTGCCCAGAGAAGCTGTGGCTGCCCCACCTCTGGCAGTATTCAAGGCCAGGTTGGGCAGAGCTTTGAGCAACCTGGTCTAGTGGAAGGTGTCCCTGCCCAGATCCCTTCCAACCAAAAGCTTCCTATGAAATGCTATGAGAAGCTCCCATTTTTAACCGTTTTCTGGCACTCATTTATTCGCAACACCCACGTCCTCCGAGATCCTGTGTCCTGCCTCCTCACCCCTTCTCCACCCTCGGGCCGTGCAGGACAGACGAGGGCTGGGCAGTGAGTTTGCTCGAGCACGAAGGGCCCATCAGTCAGCCACGCGGCCGCCTTCCCGCCCTTTCTAACGGCCGGAGAGGAGCCGTTGCGCTGAGGGAGGGGGGGAACACAACATGCCGCTCCCCCGACAGGATCCCGCCCTCGTGTCCTTTATGTAGGGATTTGGCGTGAGGGGGTGATTGCCGCGAAGCAGCGGCAGCAGCTGCATGCGGGAACCGTGTGCGTGAGGCAGGGAAGCAGACGTGATTACTTCAGAATTTATTTAAGGAGCGGTGGAAACCACTGCAGCGCGTTCTAGGGGAAGTCCCCGCCGACGAGCAGCGCGCCCAGCCTGGGAGCGCCCGTGCCCGTCCACCCCCCTTGCTCGCCCGCTGCCGGCAGCCCGGCTTCGGACCCGGGGGAAGGGCGCTTGCCAGCGCCTACACGCCTGGACTATTCAGATTATATCAGATTTTAGCACTGCTTTGTCATGGTCAGATTACAGCAGATGATACGTTTTATTACACTGTATACTTGATTAGATGAGATGTACTGGCGTTTGCCTGAACTCGTTTGAATTACAGAAAATAGCATCTTGTTGCTATCGTGCTGCTTTCAATACAGGCATCACCCAGTTACTAGCGGGGGGTAGGGCAGTCCTTGACCCCGGGCGTCGCTGGCGCTGCCCCCTAGGCAGGGGCGCGGTGCACGGAGTGGAACGAGCGCATCTGCTGTGGGTGACTGGCTGAGGCTTTCCCAGCTCCCACTGCCGCGGCTCTTGCTCTGTACCGCTGAGACCAGGCTCCGTACGGTGCCTGCCGAACAGCGGTGAGCTGTGGGTAGAGGATTTATTTCCGTAAAGCAGAAAACAGCCTTTGCTTTTGATCATGCTGGCAGTCGTGCGCGCGTGTGGACTTCAGTCACGCAGAGAGACATAATTAGCCTGGGAGGTAGTGAAGAACCAGAGAAATCAGGCAGCGCTCAGTTAAGCTTTAACAAAAGATGAGGAATAAAGGGAAGATGCTTTCGCCCTGGCCCCTCCCGCCTGTAATCGCTTGCCTCCAGCTGCAAAGATGCTGTTGCTCTAAAGGGGCTGCTGGAGCTTTAAGAGGCGCTCCCCCCCGTGCTCCCGACAATGGTCTGAGCCGAGCTCTGCTTCCCAAAGCAAAATTTGTAATATGCCATTTTTCCCATGGATGCTTCTCCTCTTGGATGCTGACGAAGTGACCGAAGAAAATGCTGAGGTGCCAAGCAGCTAGTCTCGCCGGAGGACGTGTGCGGGGGTTTGGGGTTTCTCGGAGCAACGCCTGTGTCACCATTGCTAGGAAGATGGTCCGGGAGTGCTCGGCTGTGTGAGTCCCCGCTCGAAGCCGGTGGAGACTGCGGTTGTTATTGATCAAGTGAAATAGCAGACGCCGAAATAAAAGCCACTAGGTACTGAACCTTCTATTTCTGAGTTAAGACATCCTCTCCTTAGCCCTGCTACCCTCCGGGAGGTGAGATGCAAAAGCAAAATCTTGCAGTCTGCCACTTGCTGTAGTACATGTACGGTGTTTAAATGCATTTCTGTAATGGAAGTTGGGCAATTTAGGACTAAAAATTGTGAAGTCAACTTCTCAGATTTTGGTGTGGTTGAGGGAGATGTGAGGCTGGAGGGATAATGTAAAGTACAAAGAGTCAGAATTAGTCCTTTTTTTAAGGTACTGTGTTGATCACCCCTCCTGTATGGAAGGAGTGCAGGATGCTTCTGTTAAAGGTGATATCATAGTTTAGTGGAGTCTGGCAGGTAAGGAGTTAACTAGGAGGAGGAATATGCATGTAATGCAACTCAGACAATAGGAAGGATTTTCCTTATGGAATTACACTGTGCTGCCTAAGAGCGATCTTGATGAGAACATCTGAAAAGACATAATTGCAGTAAGAACTGGTTTTATCGGCCACTATGCTTATTTAATGATTTGGGAAAAAAAATAGTTTATAAATGCAAAATATCCAAAATGATCCAATGAAATGAGTTTTCCAGCTGATGTCACTGTGGACAGGCTAGAATGTATGGTAGTTAGATATCTACTTCTTTTTCCTGCAGCAAAATTACAAGTAACTTGAAATGACTCCTCAACCTTGGTGTGCAAATCAAACATTTGACTATACAGAAAATAAGGTTTTAAAACCAGTTATGGACAGAAAGGTGAGGGAGTAAAATTAGATTCACATCTAAGGTGGTAGCCTTCAAGGTGAGCAAAACGAATGCTTGTCTAACAGCCATTGTCAGACAGAAGCCAAGTAGTATTTTGTCTTCTCATTCCCAGAGCTTGCCCAAGTAAAAGAAGTCCAGCTGGTAAATTATACTGAGGCTGCATGAAATTGCAGAGGTATTCATTAGAACATTTGCTTTAAAAGATAAATAATTCCAAGACTCTTGGACAATTGAGATAACAGGAGATGCCAAACAGGGTGGGGTCTGATGAGAAGAAAGATACAACTTTTTAATTTTCCATCTTTATATACCATATGTACCACAGAAATTTCAAGTAGTTTAGAAAAAGTCAGTGTTGAAAATGGACTTTTGCAGCCAGTCTATAAATGATTATCAGGATCTGTAGACAGAATTGCTATCAATTTAGCTGTTAATGGAGAAGTTCCTGAAAACGAGCTTTATGTCACTCAGTTTTAATTAAGAGTAAGCATATTCTGTGTCCTTTGTTTCATTTTTTATTCATTCACTCACCTGGATATCTAAAGTAAGCTGCAGAATTCCTAATTGAGCTAATACTGAGTTCAGTCTTGATGGAGACATAATGCAGCTAATGCTATAGATTTGCTGTGACATTTTTCATACGACCTAAAAAATCTTTAGTACAATGAGAATGAGCCACATTCTTTACCCCTCTCATAGAAAAGATAACTTAAACAGTCATTGCTTTTTTTTCCAGTTAATTGTGTGCTTAGAGGGGAAATCTGTTTGTGATTTCTCTTAATATTATAGGCAATGTCACATAACATCCAGTGTACTACCTAGTCATGCATAACATACATTTGTGATTTTTATCCTCCTGTTTGGAGGTAGTAAAATGACAAGAGGTTGATGGTTTGCCTGTGTTACTGACTTTTTGCAACCATCTGCCCTGATTCAAACCTGCTTAAATCCATGGTAGAATTTACATGAATTCAAGCAGTTGTTGGATTAGGCTCCATGCAAGTGATTGGAGAAAACACTGATCTAGGAACCAATCAACCTGGAATAGATTTTGCAGTAGATCGTGTACAAGATAGGCAACAGACAAGGAAGAGAATGTATTTAGAGAACTTTAATATGCTTCTTCCCCGACTGCCGTTGTGTGTGGCTGTTATACCTGAGCACTTCAGGTCTAGAACTACTATTAAATGCTTATTTGCTTCAAATTAGGAGAATTCTAAAGTTATTACATTGCCTAAAAGTCTTTTTCTAGGGAACAGGTATGTGCTACGTAAAAAGTTGCTGCATTTTAGGGGAAACAGTAATTTGTCAGTATCCTACTTCAGAACTTCTCAGAGGGTTTGTGATAGCTGTAAGGTGCCTCACAAGTTCAGTGTGCATTACAGTCCTTGAAAGTTTTGGGCGCTTAGTGTGCTTCCTGAGCAAGGGAATTGCAATGTTTGCTCTATGACTTCTGTTGAATCTAAAAAACAGTGTTTGTGTATTAACTGTAAAATGCTGGTGACTTGCAGTAAATGCACTTTTCTTTGAGAGGTTGCTTTACTTACATTCAGAGTACTGAGTAAAGTGGTAAATTTCTTCCTTCAGAGATACCAAATTCAGTACCAATGGAGCTTTTGTTTTTCAAGAAAGAGAAGCACATTTAAAAAGTCTTGAGATCAGTCAAGCATAGCTCTAATTAAGTTGTATTGCTACAGAGCATCAGCTGCCTTCTGGCAGAGGAACATAAATTTTATCTTTTATTCTTTTGAATAAAGAGGTATTAATGAAGCATATGTCACTTTTTTAAGCACTTTCCCTCTACTCGGTCCTCTTCTTTGCAGTCCTGGCAGTATAAGAAGTATTGTACAAGAGGTCTTGTTCTTTTATCATGGACTTCCGTGGTCTTGAACATATGCAACAGAGGTCTTTAATCCACCCCTTGTGGTTCCTAACACCAATGAAAAGAAATGTCAGTGCCCTCAGTGTTCTTTCTTGGATGTCTGTGTTTCTTCATACGTAACTTTGCGTGCCTTCAGTCATGTCTGGACAGAGCAAGATGGCTACCACTTAGTGGTGGCTTGCTGCTATTGTAGTTGTATGACCCGTTTCTCACTCCTGAGGATGGGTATGTTTAATGAAGGTCTTAATTGCCTGTTCCCTCTCCACTTCCATTCTTCCCTCAGCTCCTTTCCTGACTCAGTTTTCTGGGGGCACCAGTCTGCGTTTCTCCTCCAGTGGCACAGAGCTGCATGATTTACTAGATGCATGATTGGACACCACTGGTATAATCAAGTAGGATTTGAGTATCAGATTAAGAAACCAAGTTGGATGCCTGGAGTATACCTACTTCATCTTTTCTTCCTTCTTTCATGTGACCAGGGTCTTGGTAAAGAAATCCTTAATAAATTACTTCGGTGGTAATTTACTGGGTCTCTGCAAATCTGACTTCAGATAGCTGCATGCAGATTTCCGAGTTTACACAGTTCAACATCATGTACCTTTCAAGAAGAAGCCAAGTCTGTGTTTCTTGGTGGTTGGGTTTGATTGGGGGTTTATATTTGTTTGTTTTCTGTGACTATGATGTTAGGAAAGCTTGCTTTTTTTCTTTTTTTTTTTCAGTTCTTGATGAGAATATGATGTGTTCTTCTTTTTATTTCTCATAAATACATTAATAGCATGGTCAGAGAACTTCCTAAATGTACCAAGCGTCTCATGGCTTTATGTATGTTATAAACATTGGCTTGATAACAGATGATGACCACTGAATAAATTCAGTGTTGGGATTTTTGGGGGGGGGAATATTTATTTATATTTACTGATTTTTCCCTTTAAATTCTAGAAGGAGCATATACCACTTGACTACTGTCATACTGTACATATGTGTTCTCCTGCCGAGCTAGGCTTCATCAGCTTTTCAATCTTTGTTCTAAAAACAGTTTTTTCATTATTTGCTTTGCTGGCATTCACTGGGTAGGTGAAAAAATGTAAAGCATTAAAATTTTTCTTCAATCCTTTTTTTTTTGCTTAAAACATTTGAATGATAAGCGAGAATATGAGAGGCCATAAAAATCGAGTTACAAGACTTCTAAAACTTAAATGTTTTGTGGCTTCTGATGTATCTAAAAACCAGTGCTTATATATTAACTGTAAAATGCTGGTGACTTAAAGTAAATGCATTTTTCTTTGAGAGATTGCTTTGCTTGCATTCAGAATACTGAGTAAAATGGTAAACTTTTTTTTGGAGAGGTGTCATTTTGACATCCAATATAACATTTTAGGTTTGGGGGTGTTTTTTTGTGTGTGTGTGTGTATTTTCTGACAAAGAGTAATTGCCTACATTTCAAAAAATAAGCACATATTTTCTTTAAATTTGGATGCCTAAAAAATACATATTTTCATTCCCCCCCTCTCATGTGATTGTGTTTTCGTATTTCTCTAGTTTGTGTTTTTTGGGGTGTGGGGGCTGTTTCTTATTTTTTTAATGTCATGTGGAGATTGGGACACTTAGTGTAAATAGCAGTATCTGAAAATGTGGCCATACTTGTAATCAAGTATAACTGATGTCTTTGTTTTAATGATGATTTTCTTTGTCAATGTTTTCCAAGTATACAGATCCCACTAATCTCCACAAGGTAAAGGCAGGCCATTCTACTAAAATAAAGTTTTTATTTTTTTCTTTTTACTTTTTTTGTGTGTGTTTTTTTGTTATTTTTTGCTTTTTTGTTGTTGTCATTCATTTGTTCACTTATTTATGTACACAATGATATGAACCATAATTAATTTTTTTTAATTCCAAATTTCTTTCCAGCTTTATTTAAATAGATATTAAATTTCAGAATCTCCATGGTAAATGAGTGAATTCTTTAAACTTAAAGCTTTCTCCTGACACCTGGAATTATTTAGTGTAGAAGGGACCTTTGGAGGTCATCTGTACCAACCCATTGCCCAGTGCTGGGCCAACTGAAAAATAAGATCAGGTTACTTAGTGCAGGTTTGGGAAATAGAAAGTTTTAGCAGTCAATGTAAATTTCTGAAGTGTAAGGCAGGTATTTATACACTTAAATTTCTTTAATATTTTGTCACATCTGAAAATTATAAGAGAAGTAATTTTGCAATATAGATTTGTGGCAGTACAATTTAAGCTTTTTATTGTAAACTTCAGAGGAGGGATTCTGATGATTCATACACGTTTGTCTTCACTTGTTCTTTCTTTACTGTCTGAGTTACTTTTCACTAATAGGATTCATCAAAGCTA